GTGTGTGTGTGCCTGCACATTTGCGTGTATGTGTGTGTACGTACACCCCATTAATCAAGTGCTATGCCTTGATGCAGTATCCGGCCAATTCAGCATCTCTCAGTCTCATTCTCTCTGTCTTTCTTTCTTTCCCTTTCTTTCTTCCTCCCTCACAGTTTCTGTTCTTTCATCTCTGTAGCTTTCTGTCTTTTTCTCTCCAGATCCCTGTTTGCGTGCTAAGCCTCATTAACAATTAATTACCAATCAGCTAGTCAAGTCACCCCTGGACCGCTGGGCTTCTCAATGATTCATTAGCCGGGGTTACACAACGTCGCGACACATAAACACACTTACACAGCGACACACACACATAAACACACTCAAGCTCTGTCCCTCTCTGGGCGTTTCACACGAGTACACACAGACTTTGTAAACATGCAAAGACACACACACACACACACACACACACAGAAGCAAGCATATGGACAGGTGAAAATACTCCCTCACCTGCACACACCTGCACACACACACGCTGCCTGTATCTAATCACAGTGTCCTCATTAAAAAGAGATACAGGAAAACTGATTGAGTTGGAAATTCTATGCATACAGGGTTCCCAAAAGTTACTTCAATGTCAACTTGAAGGATGTTTCAGTGACTTTCAAACACTTGTTTGCTAAAATTGAAGAATTTAGAACTGGCATATTTTAAGATAAGACATGACGTTAATTAAAATAAGACATCACTACTAGGCCTCTTTACTTCATCATCCTATTAAGTCCAGAAATCCTGGTGAAATCCTTAATTTCAAAACTGCTGTTATATCAGCCCCTACATCCATCACAGAGTTTTTCCTCAGGGTGTGAGATGTTGATCTTAGGATGGAGAAAGTCCCAGTGAGCTGAGGCACACTGATGAATGTGGGCCCTAGATTTTTAAATTAAAAAAAAGAACGTTCAAGGGCATCTGTTCATTTTAATACATTTTCAAAAGACAAAAGTTTAAAGACCTTTCTGGTCTAATCCACAAGTTTTCATTAACTGCGGAAACCAAAGACCAAAGACATTTTAACCTGTCTACAGTCACACTTTTTACAGAGTAACTACTCCGTTCTCTGAACCCTCAATTCCCAAGACAATGCAGGAAATTTGGGCTGAATGATTGATTATTTGTATATCAAAGTTGTTTTCTGAAAGAGTAACTATAAATCAAATACTTAAAAGCATCTTAACAAGCTGTAGCAAGTCTTACATATTTTACCTAGCTATAGTTTATAACGTTGGGGCGGCTGTGTGAGGTGGTTGACCACAGGGTTGGTGGTTCGATCCCCANNNNTCGGGCAAGACACTGACTGAACCCAGGCACTGAGAATGCACAAACAGTGCATGTCGTCCCAAACGAACCCAAATGAACCCAAGCCCGGATAAATGGAGAGGGTTGCGTCAGCAGGGGCATCCGCCATAAAAAAAACCTTGGTTTAATTTACAGAACATAACCGCAATTTAAATTGCAATCACAATATTGGTCCGAAAAATTGCAATTATGTACTTTCCCAAAATCATTTGGCCTGAGGAAACTGAAGTTTGACACTGAACAGGGAAGTGTGTGCTGTTAAAATGTAACTGAGCAACAACTCAGCCCAATCTGAGGTCAGACAAGGACTTTGCTTTTGTAGAAGTTTAACTTCACTCTGCCGCAAACTTGTACAGCTTTAATATGGACATTGACACAAGGGAAACAGCCTGAAGCACAGAGTGAATTTACTGCCTTGCTCAGGGATCCTTTGCTGATGAAGGAGTGCAAGATTTTCCCAGCTGGACTCAAAACGGCGACCTTCTTCTGACCTTAAAGAAACTGCTGAGGGACATTTTATCAGTGCCTCCACACGCCATGAGCTACTAAAGCTAACTGTACACATCGACCAGCCAAAATAAAGCTGGTGACCAGTCTGAAGCACCGATGTCTTTGGATAACTTTGCTTGCGTTTCTCTCTCCAGGCACTTCGCTGGTTTCACAGTTCATCCCTTCTAGTGTGGCAAATTATGTTTGTCAATGTATAGCTCTGCACTAAGTCGACAGACATTGATACAGCTACAGCATTGTGGGATTAAAACGGAGTGTTTCTGTGTGTGGGTGCTGAGGTTTACTCTGTGTGTGTAAATCTGAGAGAGAATGGATGTGGAATGGAGTTGGTGGGTGACCTTGGGGCAGGAAAGCACGAGCAAGAGTGATGATGTGTTAAACTGTGTGCACACACACACACACA